CCCAATACACCTCATCGTCCTCACTAGCGTGCGCATCATGCCAGCCCAAGCCACGGTATCAGCGGCCTCGGATTTGGTCTACTTATGAATTGGTCGTGTTTGAAGATTATTTCTATCGTGGATTTGGTGTTCTGATCCATCCGTTCCTTCATGGATTGATTGAGTATTACGCCATTAGTCTTTGCAATCTAGGCCCAAACTCCATCCTTCACGTTTCTATCTTCATCCATTTCATGAAGCCTATCTTGGCATTCTCCCACATTTTGATCTCTTCCACCACTTTTTCTGCGCTTTGAAATCTCAGGGAGATCTGGATCTAGAGTTGTGGGTAGCGCATACTTGCAGCTGCGGGATGGGATGGTTGGGCAAAGACATCGCTACCCCGTTGAACATAAACGTGAAGTATTGGGCATAGCGATGGTTCTATATGCCATAGGGGGAACGTTATGTGGCATGCAACATTGATCCTATTCCCATGAGTAACGCTAGGTGGTCGAACAGATCTAGTGCCAGTGGAATGGAGCAGGTGAGGGAACTCCTGGCATTGATTGACCGAAGGAGAGTAGATGGGGTCATAGTGGCGACGAACTTTACTTTTTGGCGATGCCAGCCCAGCAAGGAGAGGGCACACCCTGCATATGAATTCTGGGAGGGTACTAATGGGACCCGAGAGGTGCCCGAGCTGATTGCTCGAGAGGAAGTCAAGCGGTGGATTGGGGTGTTGTTTAACCTCACGAAGCACCACAAGCTTGACGACTAGTAGAGGGCCTTTAGTGTTCGGAACCTCCCACCGGTGGTAAGAGTCTTTTTATTAGTTTAGCCTAATTTCTTTTTTGTTGTGAACGGACTAGGGACTCACTCATGCTCTTGAAGATACGTGGGCAGGACCGAGCAGCATACTTCTTAGCCGTGCCATCGACGGACTGGCTGAGGGGTATTCATGCCCGGCTGATCAGTCCCTAGCGTCGTGCCAGCTTGAGGGCTGGTGGAGACAGCTCAGATGATAACGACGACGAAGACGAAGGTGAGCGGACATCAGATGTCCATGAGAAACTTTGGGGGAAGCGGCCTACTAGCGAGGAGCCGTCTTTGAAGAGAAGGAAGACGACAGGATCATCCCATGGAGAAGAGCGGTCGGTGAACATCGGCGCTCCCGCTCACCCCAAAGACGGTGAATGGTGGTTTCAAGCTCGTCGGATGACGATGGGTTGGCAGCACCACCATCTCCGAGGGACGAGACACCACCACCGGCCATGCCGGCCGGAGCAGAGACCCACGAGATGCGACGGACGCGGCAAGCCACTGCCACGACGCCCGGTGGTGTTCGAGCATCGTCAGCGGCGACGACTCGTGTGGTGGCAGCGTCAATAGCCCGGGCAGCTACCGAAGCCCCCGAGGTCACAGTTACAACCCCTGTGATAATAGCGCAGGCGGCCACCGTAGTCCCCACGGCTGCGCGGACGACCCTAGTGACGACGGTGGAGACGTCGAGCGGTTCGGGTGGTGGTCCGACAGGTAGCGGGCGGGGGCACCGGTTCTGAGCTGCGCAACGGGAGTCGCAGTTGTAAGTATCTTGTTTACTTGCTATGTTGCTTTGGTAGTGTAGTTTGCTTCTGCTCAACACCGAGAGCAGAGCAACCCAGAGAGAGAGGGGCACCGTGAGCTCCTCCACCGCAACCGTCGTCTTCCTCCTCTCCGATGAGTGGAAGACTCCACCGCCGGTGAGGCAATCTCAGGATTAGCATCGAGCTAACCCCCTAGCAAATCTCTTCCTTCCTCCTGTACACTCTATTGTAACCCCTAATTTTAGGTGCTCTTGAGTATAAGGATCATCAGGTGCTGAACGTAGGGCATCGATCGGCCCGAACCAGGATAAACCGTTGCGTCCTATCTGTGATTCTTGTGTTCTTGAGTCCACCCGAGCCACCGGAGACACGTACGCTAACACCAACTCGAACAACAATGCTTGCCGCGGTTCCGACACCGCAACACAAGCATTTGCTTAAAATGTTTTATCTGTTTTTGGACGTATGTTGCAATTATTTTTTATCTGGATGTTGCATATGTTTTCACAAATATGTTGCAACAGTATGCTTGAAATGTTTCAGTTGTTTCAGTCTTATGTTGCAGTAAGTGTTTTTCCATGTTGTAATTGTTTTATCTGAATGTTGCATATGTTTCACACACATATTGCAAGCGTATGTCCCAAATGTTTCATCTATTTCAAATGTATGTTGCATTCGAGTGTTTCATGCTGCAAGTGCAGATGACCGACGTTGGTGTCCATGAGGGCGGTCAGGGCCAAGCCGCAGCCATCGACGCGTGGAGGAGGCACAGACCGCTGGCGGGGGTATGGGGAGGAGGCACAGGCCGTGCGGTGCTATTGTGGAAGAGGCGGGGGTGAGTCTTCCAGGTGGCCTGGAAGAGACGGGCGCTATGCCGGTGTGGAAGAGGCGGGGTGAGTCATCCGAGCAGCGTGGGCAGCGGATCTAAAGCGGGCGGTTCGGATGCGAGCATGGAAAACGGAGTCGGCACGGCCGACGCCATGAATCCGAAAGCGGACGGTATGAAAGAGCATGCGGCGTCTCGGACGGACACATGCGTTCGGACGTCGGTGCTAGTGTCATTGATGCAAATAAGTGCACATCACATAAGTGATAAGTTTGGTGTAAATAGTTCTAGCCACAATTAATTTTCATATATGTACTACAAAGAGCGATATTAAAAAAACTGTTCATATTTGTATTTGACATATCTGCATTTATATTTGTATTTGATTTAAAATATTGTCCGTATTTGTACTATATCTGAAGAAAATTATGAGTACTAAAAAGTATTTAAACAGAGGTGAATGTGCCCAAACTAACACTTTGGTCCTTTTTATTAAAAAAAACAAGCATAACACTTTGGCCAAACAAAATTGGTCTGGTACTTACTTCCGTAAGTTTTGGCTACAACCATTTCCACCTTGTTCGGGCGTCCGGCTGACCCCTCATTCATTCATGAGCCCCCTTAATAGAAAAAAGTTATCTTCACTCGTGATGCAGAAAATCTCCCGTGCAACATGGATCTGATGTCATCTGATCTTTGATCTGTTGGTCACCATCTCGCATGGTTGCATGCCACCTGCATGGTCCAAGCTGCTGCCCTGTCTTTCTGTGGAACGTAACGCTTCGGCCTGTCCGTGTGTTATGAGCCTGTTGCAGCGAATGAATAGTGATTTTCTCTTATAATAAATCAGCGAACGGTACTTTTAGCCATGACTTTTCAGCAAAGCAACGGGGCCTCCGTCAAGTTAAGTCAGGACACGTAGACAACAACAAAACAGTGTCGCATAGGAGATTTTCTACATCACGAGTGCAGATAATTTTTCCCTTAGGCCTTGTTTAGATGACCATCAAATTTCAAGTTTTTTCACTCTCTCTCCATCACATCAATTTTTAGCCGTTTGCATGGAGCATTAAATGTAGGTAAAAAAATAACTAATTGTACAGTTTAGTTGGAAATCATGAGATAAATCTTTTGAGCTTAGTTGGTCCACGATTGGACAATATTTACCAAATAAAACGAAAATGCTACTATTCATCGGGTTGAAATTTTTTGCAATCTAAACATGGCCTTAGTTGACACCTATGTGCCAACAACGCTGGTGTCCACGTTTCTTTCTCTTCCTCCGTCTCGTCTTCTTCCTCCTAGATCGATCCAACCCACGTCCCCGGCTAGCGGCTCCTCTGCCACAGTTACATCGCCTGTTGCCCAGCCCCACCTTACCTTCCCCCGCCCTCCACTAATCGATTCAAGGAATCGTTCATCACCGGCCCTACCTCGTCGCCGTCGGCCTCGCCCACCACCGGTGCCCCCACCACCAACTGCACTCGTCGATAGGCCTCTGCCCTCCTCTAATCTCAATCGAAGAAAGAAGAGATGGATCCCTCGCCCCGTCGCCAGCTCCGCTCACCAGGTGGGGAAGCTCCGCTCACCGGATGTTCCCCATCGCCTCGCTAGCCGCCGGTCGAATCGTCAGGAAGAAGGTAGGTGCGAGGAAGACGATGCGCGCGCTGGGTCGTTCAATCACTCGTCAACGTTTGTATGCGTCAGTAACAACCAAAAGCAGCGCGCGTTGGGTCGTTCGTGTAGCACTGTAGCTCTCCCGCGTGGCGGTGCCGTCCGGAACGGTCACCGCAAAACAGGCAGCGATGCTGCTGAAGTGCTGATGCACGCACGCCATGTGCCAATCCTCTGCCGGCTTTATGCGACCACACCGACTGCCGTGGCCCGTGAATACTGGACCCGGTTCGCTGGACCGGAGGCGACCAGCAATAGCAGAGGCAGATTAGCAGTCCTCGAAAGCTGTGCGTGCTCGTCTTCTTTTCTTACATGTTTGTGATTATTATTTCCTCGATTGATGCTTATATGCTCTCAAATAATTTTGGCAAATTTTGGGTGACAAATTGGGAAACCGACGAGTCTCGAGCTGTTGCAAGTAATAATTTAGGCCTTATTTAGTTTCTCCACCTAAAGTTTACTTCCTATTTCATCGAATATTTTAACATATGCATAGAGTATTAAATAGATTAAAAAATAACTAATTACATAGTTTACAACTAATTTTCGAGACGAATCTTTTAAACCTAATTAGTTCATGATTTAATAATGTGATGCTACAGTAATATATATGCTAATGATGAATTAATCAAGCTTAATAAATTTATCTCATAAATTACTTACGAATTGAGTAATTTATTTTTTTTATTAGTATGCGAATATTCTATACTACACGCCGTATGATAGCACCAAACTTTACGCGTTGAATTTAAAGAAGGCCATATAAAAGAAGATCCGCACGAGCACGCGACCCGATACAGTGGATTCGCAATAATCACGTCAGTAAATTCACGCCCCTGTGCTAGTTAATGACAGATTGACAGTTAACACGAGGTGCTTGAGAGCTGGCTGCAAGCAACGGATACGGACTCCCGACACCACTCGCAAACCGCCCAATGATGAAGGCCAGCACCACCAACACCACACTGGAGCTCGGCTTCCAGAAAGACGGCACCGACAAGCCTGATGGCGGCACAGGTGGCGTGCTCTGGCCGTCGCTGATCTGCTACCTCGTCGTTGCCGCCACCACTTTTTGGGCCGTGGCGTCCATCTTGTTCCCGCCGTCGGCGTTCCCCCTTCCTCCCCTGATGTCCAGCGTCGTCACCGTCAGCCAGCAGCCCCCTGCTTCCCACGAGCCGCCGCCGTCGGAGGACACCCGGACCAACGTGACCGCCAACATTTGCGCAGGGCGGTACATCTACGTGTACCGCCTGCCGCCGCGCTTCAACGACGACATCGTCCGCGGCTGCCGCGCGCTCCGACCGTGGATGGACGTGTGCCCGTACATGGCCAACTGCGGCCTGGGCCGCCCGCTGCGCGACGAGGGCGGCGTCTTCCCGGGCCGCGGCTGGTACGCCACTGACCAGTTCATGCTCGACGTCATCTTCCGCTGCCGGATGAGGCGGTACGACTGCCTTACTGGCGACCCCGCCCGCGCGTCCGCCGTCTTCGTGCCGGCCTACGCCAGCCTGGACGGCGGGCGGTACCTGTGGAACAGCACCGCGACGCGGGACGCGCTGGCGCTCGACCTCGTCGCGTGGCTGGTGCGGCGCCCGGAGTGGCGCGCCAGGGCGGCCGCGACCACTTCCTGTTGGCCGGCCGGACCGCGTGGGACTTCCTGAGGAAGACCGACGGCGACGACGACTGGGGCACGAAACTGCTCAACATCCCAGCCGTCCGCAACATGACGGCGCTCGTCCTGGAGATCGACCCGTGGAACCGGTCGAATCACCTCGCAGTGCCTTACCCGACGAACTTCCACCCGGCCACGGCTGCCGACGTGCGCGCCTGGCAAGAGAAGGCGCTCACGTTGGAGCGCAGGTGGCTCTTCTCGTTCGTCGGCGCGGCGCGGCCCGGCAGCAACAAGACCGTCCGCGCGCAGATTCTCCAGCAGTGCGGCGCGTCGAGCCGCTGCGGGATGTTCCGGTGCAAGAAGGGGTCCGAGTGCGAGGCCGCGCCGGGCGCCATGATGCGCATCTTCGAGAGCTCGAGCTTCTGCCTCCAGCCGCGCGGCGACACGACGACGCGGCGGTCCACGTTCGACGCCGTCCTGGCGGGGTGCATCCCGGTGTTCTTCCACCCCGACTCGGCGTACACGCAGTACGCGGACCACATCCCGGCGGAGCCCGAGAGGTGGTCGGTGCTCATCATGCACACCGACGTCACGGACCGGAACGTGAGCATCGAGGAGACGCTCGCCAAGATCCCGCCGGCGGCCGTGAAGGCGATGCGCGAGGAGGTGATCCGGCTCATCCCGAGCTTGGTGTACGCGGACCCGAGGTCGACGCGTGTAGACTTCAAGGACGCTTTGGACATTGCAGTGGACGTCGTCCTTGATCGGGTGGCCAAGCGGCGGCGAGGGGATGTCGGCGGACGCTGATGGACCGGTAGCCGGCCGGTTAGGAGGAAATTGAATGGCCTCGGCGTCTGGGCTCCGCCACCGCCACGTGAACCTTCCTCGATCGCGACGGTGCGCGCTCGTACCTAGGACTAGGACTCTAGGAGCATTTGAATGGGATTCTGGGAGTCTTCAACGCCTGTCTCTTCGGTTTAGGATCGTGTGCACGGTGCACGTCAGCACGTGTATAGCTACGGTGCGACATGGCTACCCGCGGCGTAGTGGCGCGCTCAGAGCAGCCCTGGGCATTCCTTCGTTTTTCTTTCTTTACCTCGGTCAGGTTTTGTTGTTCATTCAAAATAAAAAAGGGTGATGCTGATATAATAGTTACATTACACTTGCCTGCAATCTGAAATTTGAAATCTTCTCGTCTTGTCTGGTTACTACTCCCGTCACCTGCCTCCTTGCCGCCGGAAACCGGACGACGCCTCCACGTTGTAGCCAAGTCTACGTTCTCTGCTCCGCCATTACATAAAAGAGTCTGGTCTACTACACAACCATATGTTTTATGTAGTTTTAATACATGAAATTTTTTTGCATTATAGGATTAAGATCCAACAGCCTCCACCCTTTTTCTACCTGCAGCTTCCAGCCTCCACAGATCACAGATCACAATTTTTTTTTCTATGGAAGAACAAATCACAGGTTCACCGCCGCCGCGGGCGCCGGGGCGAGCTCGCCGGTCGCCGGCGCCGGTGGTCACCGGAGAGAAAGAGAGAGAGAGAGCTAAAAAAATTCATTTTTTTTTTTGCTAAAATACATGTGTGTTGTATAGTATTTCTGTTGGAAGCACATATATATCCTCTCCATTCTCCAACACGCCCTCTCCTTTCCCTTTACAGAACAGCAATATTGGTTAAGTCGGGCCACGTTTTAGGCCCACTTGCCACCTACGTACATAGGATTGCAAAAAGTCCACATTACCTCCTCAAACTTTGTAAAAGTCTATTTTTTCTTCCTGAACTCTAAAGTTAGATAACCACCTCCCTGAACTTTTAAAATAATTCGTTTTACCTCCCTGACCGGTAATAAGTGGGTTTCAAAAGCGGTTTTGTCTTTTTCTTTTTTTTTATTTATGTCGACTGAATATTTGAAAAATCAAAGTAAATCACAGAAAGATCATAAAATGGAAAATCCAATTTTGTTGGACTCCACATGAGTAAATCTACACAGTGAACATATAATACTGGTATGTTTTAGTATAAGTTTTTTTCTGTAACTTTAGATCTATGTTTTTCTATAATTAATTCATAGCTACAGTTTCTATAGTCCAATTGTGATGAAATTTTTATGAGAGAATTCCCTGTGAGCCATTAAAAAAGTTCTCAATTCCCTATCAACCACCGAAAAAGTTACAATGTGATATGAGCCACCGCTCTAAATTTTTAGAGCCCTACGTGCCGCTACCGTTGCAGGATGAACTACAGCTAACATAAGTTTAAAATGTCCTTTTTGCCCCTCTTATAGGTGGGCCCTAGGCGTCAGCTTCTTCTTTCTCATTCCATGGCCATGGAAGCTAGCTGCACTGCTGTTGCTCGCGCGCGGAGAAGGGAGCTCGGCCAGGCCAACGGCGTGGGCCCTCCTCCGCCCATCACCTCTGTCGCTGCGGCTGCCCGGCTCCCGCTTGTACGCCATGGACACAGCTCCCGCTTTTGTGCCATGGATAGGCTCCCCGGCTTCCGCTGCCGTGTCAGCGTGGCCTCGGCGTTGAACATGTAGCAGGGGAACACGTAGGAGCTAGCACGCCAGCACCTGCCGGCACCACAGCAGGCTCCGTTGCACATCTCCTCCATCTCGAAGCGTCGTCCACCCAAGAGCTGCCCACGGGGGCGCGGGGTGGGGTGCATGTGGGGCCTGCCCGTGGCAGCGCTAGGCCAAGGGTCAGGGTGCGCGGGAGTGAAGGAGAGAAAGAAAAGTCTCGCCGGCCATGGATGTTGCTCACCAGAGAAGAAGAAGAATAAGAAAGAAAAAGCACGCCGGCCACAGGAACATCCGCGGCAGGAGAAGCAGTGCTGCACCACGCGCGACCCCCACGCCGCCGGCCACCGCTCCCCCCTGGATCTTGGGCCCGCCCACCATCAACGGTTTCATCGCTGTGTCGATCTGCTCGTGCGCGTCGTGCAGGTTGCAGCAGCAGACGAGGCTCAGCCCCGGCTCGATGTCGACACCAAGACTCCAAGCCGCATCGGATGGCTGTCGGCTCCGTGATGCTGCTTCAGGTGGCGCGGAGGGTGCCGGCCACCGCGCTCGTGAGCGTCCGCAGCGGGCGAGGCGGCGCTACGCGCGGCGATAGAGGTGACGGGCGGAGGAGGGCTCGTGCCGCGCCTTGTGCCGCCGCCGGCCGACCGCCGGCCTGGCAGAGCTCCCTTCTCCTCCGCGCGCGAGCAACAGCGGTGCAGCTAGCTTCCATGGCCATGGAGTGAGAAGAAGAAGCTGATGCCTGGGGCCCACATGTAAGAGGGGCAAAAAGGACATTTTAAACTTCTGTTAGCTGTTCACCCCAAAGCTAACGGTAGGGACATGTAAGGGTCAAAATATTTATAGTTGCTCATGTGACATTGTAACTTTTTTAGTGGTTGATAGGGAATTGAGAACTTTTTTAATGGCTCATAAGGAATTCTCTCAAATTTTATGGTGGTCTAATTATTGTATGCTTCAATTAAAGTAAAAATATCATACTTATTGAATCAAGTATAACTTAGTTATAGATTTATTTAGATGTATGCTTGTTTAAAAGTATTTATAAATTTATAACTAAGTTATACATGATCCTATGAGTATGAAATTTTTACTATAATTCAAGCATACAATAATTAGCATATCATAAAAATTTCACCATAATTGAACCATAGAAACTGTAATTATGAATTAATTATTTAAAATCACATATCTAAAGTTACAACAAAAATTTGTATTAAAGCATATCATATTATATGTTTATTGTATAGATATACTCAAGTGGAGTCCAACAAAATTAGATTTTTTATTTTATAATTTTTTTTTTATTTACTATGATTTTTAAAAAATTCAGCCGAAATAAAAAAAAAGAAAAAGATAAAACTGCCTTTAAAATCTGCGTATAACCGGTCAGGGAGGTAAAACTAACGGTTTTAAAAATTCAGAGAGGTGGTTTCTCCAGTTTTAGAGTTAGATAGAAAAAATATACTTTCACACAAGTTGAGAAGGTAATATGGACCACGCAGCCTGGTTGCTTCTCTTGGTTGGCCCAGCTTCCACCGCCCGTCCCGCCGGCCAGGAATTTGCCTTCCTCTGAGTGCGCGCGTCGCCTCCGATCGTCTTGGCTGAAGCCGCCATGGATGCTGACCCTATCCCGCCGCAACACATTTGGAAGACCAAAGTTACTGTACTTTGGAAGTTCTAATCTTTCCATGGATGATATGCCATCACATATCAGTGCCATGAAATTCTAAGAATTACAAATTATGTGAAAAAGAGAAGACCATTAATCATCTGCTATTTCAATGCCCTCAGGCAGTGGTGATCTGGTGTTGGATCAGAGATGCTTTGGGGTGCGGGAAGAAATCAAACATCATTAGCAGATTTTGAAGGGAAATTCATGAAAATGGCTGGAAGCAAAACGAACTGGAGATATCTGTCCGCCGGAATTGGGTTCTCCTGTAACCTGAGGACGGAACTTGACAGACAGGCTACGGAAGCTGCTCCAGTGCGTAGGCGACTTGGTGATGCTGTAGCCCAAAGAAGTCAAATATTAGGAGCAGACAGGGATTGCTGTGGAGTTCCAGTTAGAGCAGCCTCAACGCAACACGCTCCAGCGTCCATGTCAGAGCAGCTTGCAGAAGCTGCAGATCGGAGCTCTCGTCGAAAGCACCTTGTGGTCGTACTCACTCCCTCTCTTTTTATCTATTTATAAGTGTAGTCTACATTTTCATGCTAATCAAGATTTTTTAGGTTTCACTAAATTTATAAAAAATATTAATAACATTTGTATTTTTAGATAAATATATTATAAAATATTTAAATAACTAATTTTTATAACATTTATTACGTATCATATTAGTAATCTCTAGTATAATATTTGGTCTAAGTATATTTACCTTCTCAATATGTGAAAACGATATTTAAAGAGGAACAAAAGGAGTAGTTGACAGGATCTCCATCTCAAGGTTTCAGTATACGATTCAACAAAGATTAATAAACCAAAAATTTGAACAAACTCACCTTGACTGAGCAGCGCGTTGCAGTGAGGGTGAGTTCATTTGCATAGTCATGGGGCCACGTTTTTCTGTAACTTATTATGGCCATACTTATTCTCTCCGTTCCTATTTGTACTAAAAAGTAGAATCTAGATTAGACCAGCTTATTTTAACCGTTATTTTTACTATATTTGTACAGCTTATCTGGGAAGCATTTCTCATATAAACTTTCCATATCTATTCGATAAGCAAATAGATACATGTTATGTTTAAAATCAAATAGATATCTGAATTTGAGATATCCGTTCTGCATTACTATTCGGTAATATTCGTATCCATATTCAAATTTAAATTAAAATATGATAAATAGTGGTAACCAAATTCATATCCGTCCGAATCTGATCTGAATCCATCCTTACACACATGACACCAGTGCGGTACACGTCCGAGAATTAATCTAGCGTTGGGTGTGTCGTGCTCGTGTTCATTTTACATGCCACGTCGCTCGGGCTGGATGGATTAGTACTATTAAGCTCGGCTGTTCTGGCTGCAGCAGCCAGGTGCAGCAGTTACAGTACAAGCAGCAGGAACAGTGCATCCAGCAGCCAGCACGGTACAGCACGCAGCGCCTTATTTGTAAAGAAAATATTCCCGAGCTGCAGCCGAGCAGCTTCTCTGTAAAGCCACAGCCCAATAAGCCCCCATTAAGGCCACTTATATAAGACGGCACCACATTCATTTCCTTCATACTTGTGGCGCAAAGATTGAGCTACAAGCAAACTAGTTTAAGTAGATCTTACCACGTGT